TTAATCCCAATGTTTTAGTGTTGATTATTCATTATTGAGTCATGTCCTACTGAGTCGTCATTATTTATATGAATATTTTTGAGACAATTTTGGGATAGCAAGTCATTTTATTAAGTGAAGTCATTGGACTTAAATGGGCGGCACGGTGGCGTGGTGGTTAGCACTGTCGCCTCACAGCAAGAAGGTCCTGGGTTCGATTCCACCCAGTGGCCTTTCTGTGTGGAGTCTGCATGTTCTCCCTGTGTCTGCGTGGGTTCTCTCCGGGTTCTCCGGCTTCCTCCCACAGTCCAAAGACATGCTCTGGGGATCAGGTTAATTGGTGACTCTAAATTGCCCGTAGATGTGTGAATGTGAGTGGGAATGGTTGTGTGTCTCTGTGTGGCCCTGCGATTGGCTGGCGACCAATCCAGGGTGTACCCTGTCTATCGCCCGAAGTTGGCTGGGATGGACTCCAGCCCCCCCGCGACCCTGTGTGCAGGATAAGCGGTTTGACAATGGATGGATGGATGGATTTGGACTTAAAGGGTCAAAAGTGGGAGGTTCATGATACTATCTACTTACTAAAAAGTAAGCATTAACTTCTAAACAGAACGCTCTTGAAACTAGGAACAAGTATAAAAATACTCTGTCGCGAGCAAACAACCAAAATTCTAAGTTAAGATGCTAAAAAGTATTGAGAACCGTAAATCAGTGGATTCCAACTATAGCTGTGTTAAAGCATTGTTCACCTCCTGCAGCATCATTTTGCTTTATTTGTTTCACTGACTAGTAACAAATAGTTTTTTTTATCAATACGGTAAGGACCTAATACCTAGTATCTATCACACAGTGCACATGCCAAAGGGCCTTGTTTTTCCCCTCAGAGGGTGAGGGAGTGCATTAGTGTTACGTAACATTACTCGGAACACGTGAGACTTACCACCCTCACGCTCGTGGAGGCAAACAAGCTTTTGAAAGGAGGCCTTTTCAAGCATTCATCATGATTTTTCAAGCGCTTTGCAATTGTATGGACTTTACCAGCTGGTTGTTGTTGACTTTAGCCACTTTACTTGTGACAGATGTGGTCAGGAACTGGAGGCCACACAGCTTTCCACCAGGACTCTGGGCGCTGCCTTTTCTAGGAAACATCTTTACAGAAGTTGACTTCAAGGCAATAGAGAAGGTGAAGTGCACAGAACCACTTTTGGCACGTTTCCACCGAGCGGTACGGTACGGGTCGGTCGGTACCCTTTTATTTGTCTCCACTGCCAAAAGTTGAGAATGGTGCCAAAAATCTGAACTGTACCACTTCTTGGGTACCCTTCCGTTGGGGTACCTGGCACAGTTGTTTGGTACTAAAGGGTGGAGCTAGACTCGCTGCAAAGCGTTGATTGGCTGAAAGAGTGTTGTCATTTGCGCGTGCCGCAAGGGGAAAGACAACACACGTAACACACTTGCAGCATGTAGCCTTTGCTCAAACAAAGAGTGTTGTCTCCTTGTGACAAACAGCCACATATGGAGAAGCAGGAACAGGATCGGCTGTACGTCCTCCATTGTTGTTTGCGGTTAGCTTTCAGTTTTCAAATGACGTCAATCTACTTTCCGCCATATACCACGGCTATCAAGTGACGTCATCACTACTTTCTGGAATACACCATGCCTATCGAGTAAGGGTACTGTTGGCGGTGGAAACGCTCGCCAAATCATGGTTAACCGACCCGAGCCGTACCAACCCGACCCGTACTGTACCGTACCGCTCGGTGGAAACGCGCCATTAGTTCTTCTCAGGGTCCATTGTTGATATCTGAGGGGCAAAAAGAATGACAATAAATACCCCACAAACCAAATGGATGCATCTCAAAAGTTCTTCCTGATTAACTGTCTACTACTTTAAAGGCTTTATGCAATAACTGGATCACCAATTACATTTTATGGTTATAAAACGCTGTGTCTCATATTTAAACGATTAGTCAAATAATTAGTGAGAAACTGGGGGTCAGTACATTGACATCAGAAATCAGGAAACATTTATTGCCAAAATATGTGAAAACATACAAGGAATTTGTCTTTGGCGGTTGGTGCGTGACAGTAGACAGACAAGACAACAGTGCACAAGTAATAAAATAAAGTAAAATGAAATACTAATGCAATGGGTTAGTAGAATAAGGCTATGGGTTAGTATAAAACAAGAGAATAAAGTTAGTTAAAAATTTAAAATATTAAAAAAGTTAAAAAATATCAAGCATAAAGTGCACTAGTGACAAAGTAACGAGTGACGACAAAGTGAGAAATGACAGTTAAAGTGACATGTGCAGTGTGAAGGGGAGTGACCGGTGGGATGTCAGAGTCAGTCAGTGTGGGACCGGCTCTGTTGATGAGCCCGACTGCCGACGGGAAGAAACTGTTGGTGTGGCGGGAGGTCTTAGTCCTGATGGACCTCAGCCTCCTGCCAGATGGAAGGGGCACAAACAGGTTTTGTCCGGGGTGAGAGGGGTCGGCTACCATCTTTTTAGCTGCTTCAGAGACCTGGAAGCGAACAAGTCCTGCAGGGATGGCAGATTGCAGCCGATCACCCTCTCTGCAGAGCGGAGGACACGCTGCAGCCTGACCTTGTCCTTGGCTGTGGCTGCAGCGTACCAGACGCTGATGGAGGAGCAGAGGAAAAGCAGGCTGGTAACAAGTGTGAAGACAGTTCTTGCATCTGTGCTGTTTGATAAGAATGAGTGGGAAACTCCTCACACCTTCAATCCTGGTCATTTGCTGGATTCAGAGGGCCAGTTCCGCAGAAGAGAGGCCTTCTTACCGTTTTCTGCAGGTTTGCGCAACACTTTCAGGGATGCATGGCACAAAACAGTGGGCTTTTTCCAGCACACTGCCAACATTCAGTGGTTCAGGACAATGGTTGGTTTAGTGGTTTTACAAGCTGGTTCCCCTTAGGTAAACGTGGGTGTTTAGGAGAACATCTGGCCAGGATGGAACTGTTCCCTTTCTTACAACGCTTCACCTTCTCTCCTGTTCCTGGAGAATTGCCCATCTTGCAGGGAGTGCTGGGCAATTCTAGGGGTGGGGGGCTTCACCTCTTCCCCCCAAGAGTTCCGGATCCTTGCTGAGCCTCGCTGAATTGCTTTCGTGGTTACTCATCCCCCCACTATGAAACACAACCGAATCTACGCAATAAATGTGAGGTAACAATTTGCACTCGGTTTGTTTGGGTAGATTTCACCACATGTTTAAAGTAAAGCATACATACGTTTTACAACTAAGATACACTAAAATAAATTAGGTAAACTGATTGTTGACAAAAAAAAAAAATATATATATATACACTATTCATTGTAAGCACTTAGCTAATAATTATTATTGATTGCACAGAGTACAGGTACTGAGACAACGAAATGCAGTATTCTTTCTTCATAAACTGCCCACCACTAGATGACTTTTATTCCCACTGCACTTTGATGTTTGGCTCGACTCCCAATGACGTTGCTATCTAGGGGGAAAGTTCTTGAGACACAGGGGAGGCTTTGCTCTCGTGCATTATCACATTTCTGAGCTGACATGGTTGTTGCTCATGAGTAATATTACTTGACTTGATATTACTAAATAATCAATGAGTTCCATTATTTGTTAGATGACGGAAGTCTTGTTTGCAGAGGGAAAAAATGGTTGTGTGTGAAGCTTGTTAAGCTGCTAGTTCAACACACTTTAGCTATGTGGCTTCACCATTTCCTACTGGGTTTGGACCTCAAAGGGTTATTTCTAATTATTTTATCATAATAGCAGACTTCCTCCAAGACATTCAAATACCGCCACATAACAATAACAAGACAACTGCGAAAAAGCCATTCAAATTCTTTGAAAAGACTGGAACATCTCATTGCCGGAAAAGGGGCCGCACAAAGCCGGTTTAAGCCTATTTATCTTATTAGTTATCAGATGGATGCTAGTTTGTGTTTGTAACTGAATCCCCCATAAACACCAACAACGTTGGTCACAATGTTCCACAAGCTTCTGAGCCTGGATCGATTCTTTTCCCCACATGCTTCTTTTGGGCAATGTTATCAGAAACATTCCATAAAGTTATATAGTTGTTGAGACGATACTCAAATACACTTATAGAGCAATCCAGACTGAATCCAGTTAGTTTGCCAAACTTCAAACATGTCCTAAGGAATTAAAACCTCGATGACTTGAAACGTCCGGAGGGCGCATGCGCACGCAGCGAGCGGCAGGGAAAGTTTTGGCATCCTTGTGTTTTAGACGTTTTAAGGGTCAGACAGTGAAATATGTGCAGTGGTACAAATATCTTAGGACAACGGTTGACTCAAAACTGAACTTGAAACTGAAGCAAACAGTGAAGTCATGTACAAAAGGGGCAACAGCGTTTGTTTCGTCTGAGGAAACTGACAAAACCATGATGACCATATTATATCGTGTTTTTCTTGAATCAATTTCATCCAGTTCTTTTGTTTCATGCTTTGAAACCTTTCTAAAACAGAAACTCGCACAGTGGTCCCCAACCTTTTTTACCTCACGGACCGTTTTCATGTCAGACAATATTTCGCGCACCGGTCGAGAAGGTCCGGCGGAATAACGGGAGGGTAGTAGTCGTTGTGGGCGGAACGACCGACGGCGGGGGGGGGGGGTGTAGTAGTCGCGCGCTCTGTTTTCGCTGGTGGGCGAAACTGCCGCGCACGGTAAGAGGACAATTGTAAACGTGAAGAAAAACGCCTGGTGACGCGTGGGGAATCTGTCAGAGGGACGAGCGCACGAGCGCACATAATTAGTAGAAAAGCCGGTCAATTTTCAAAATAAAACATTTTTCAGAAAAAAATAAAAATTCCTTCTGTGGTGCGACCCGGTACCAAACGGCCCACGGACCGGTAGCGGTCCGCGGCCCGGTGGTTGGGGGCCACTGGTCTAGCTGGCTGATTGGTGAGTGACAGCTTAACTTGCACACCAGACAGTTGCAAAGAATAACTGGCTCCATTTTAAAGGACGAGTCTCTCCCTTTGCACAAAGAATGTCAGCTTCCCTCTAGACGGAGGTGTGTGGTTCCAGAACAGCAGAACAGCTTTGTTCCAGATGCTACACAAACGCTTGTGTACTTATTTCTTTTATTTATTGATTGACGGATTTGTAGCTTTGTGTACTTGTATCATGTTTGGCTTGTGATCTGTGTTTTTTGTAATGTCTGTTGAGATGGAGGCCTCACTCTCTATTGCAAACCAAGTCTACCTACAGGTATAAATAAGAGTAACCTGAACCTGATTAAACTCTGAATAAACCAATGTTATTCGAGACGCACAAAGTCAAGTATCTATTTCAAATCCTGCTCTGATATTTCTCTCCAGACTTCCCTTCTGATACTTAATGCTATAATGTACTAACCGGTACTAAGTACACTAAAAACAAACTAAGAGGTAATGTTACAAAGATCTTGTTTAACAAGGAAAGACCAGTTATGTAAGTCCAAAGTCACGAGGAGAGCAGAGTCCAAATGGCTGATATGTTTTTAAGTGCTTGATGTACTGTAGTGTTGAAAAGCTCAGACCTTCTTCCTGCTGCTGGTTCAACTCTATTTTACTATGTGGCTCTTTCATTTTTTGTTAGGTTTTGACCTAAAGGGGTTATTCCTGTTTATGGTTGTTTTTTTCATAATAGCTGACATCTTCAAAAACAGGAATCCTGCAAATTATCCTCCAGGACCGTTGTCTCTTCCCATTGTGGGGAATGGGGAAAGGTATAGTGCAATATTTATGAATTGTAATTATACAGTGTGTTTAGTTTATTGAGATTTTAATACATTTAAAAATCACTTTCTTTGATTGATTTAACTGAATTCATTTTAAGTGTGGTATTTCTAAAAGGATACTGATGTATTCAGGCAATACTAACTTTCTACAAGTTTCTATTTTTTTAAACAGAGCTCATCAACCTTTTGTAACTAAACAGCCACTTGTAGCTGTGAATGAAAAAAACATAATGTGAGAGAGGCACATTTAGATCTAACACAATCAAAATGCCCATATATTATGTATTGTTGTATTATATACAACTAAATTACACACGGATGGGGTAACAGATTCTTGGGAATTAACGGCAGATGCCAAAATCTGCTGGTCTAATTGAAAGTAAAAAATGGTAGTCAAAAGTATGAACAATAATGCTGATAATAAATGGTCAACCTGGATTGGATCAATTAGTAGGTTCTGGTTTTCAACTACTTAGAAATGACATTTTGTGTATTCTGGTTCATCATAGTTTGTTCCATAATTCGTATTCTGCAGCTGGCGGACATCTACGGGAACGTGTTCAGCGTCCGCCTCGGTCGAAACAAAACAGTGTTTGTTTCTGGGTACAAGATGGTGAAGGAAGCCATAGTGACGCAAGCCGACAACTTTGTCGATCGACCAGACAACGCAATGGCTGATAGAGTTTACTCAGGAGACTCAGGTATAGAAAAATTCCCGCCTGCCCCCCTCTCCCCCCCCTCTCTCTCTCTCTCTCTCTCTTTCTGAGTCGCTAATCCTTTTCTCCTCTGCATGCTTGTGTCTAGGTGGTCTGTTCATGAGCAACGGGGAAACATGGAAGAGACAGCGACGCTTTGCATTGTCTACCTTGCGTAGCTTCGGCCTGGGAAAAAGCACCATGGAGCAGAGTATCTGCGAGGAGATCCGACACCTGCAGGAGGAGATAGAGAAGGAAAAAGGTGGCATGAACAATAACGTCATTATCAGGAGCTCTTCAGTGGTATAGCATCGCCTGAACAGCAGACCTCTCTCCTCCAGGTGAACCTTTCAACCCAGCCAGCCTCTTCAACAATGCTGTGTCCAACATAATTTGCCAGCTGGTGATGGGGAGGCGGTTTGACTACTGTGACCACAATTTCCAGTCCATGCTGACGTATCTCTGTGAGATTCTTAGGCTGCAGGGCTCTGTATGGGGTCTGGTAAGTGAGTAATCTCCAATGAGAAGAGGAAGTCTTTGGTCAAAACTACAAATGGTATTTGATAATGAAAGGTGATCCACTGTGTCCTCTGAGTAGCTGTATGACTCATTTCCAAGAGTGATGAAGCACTTGCCGGGTTCTCACAACAAAATCTTCAGCCACTACGATTCCCTTCTGGACTTCATGAATAAGGAGGTAGAGAGTCACAAGAAGGACCTGGACCACAGCGATCCCGGGGACTACATCGATGCGTTCATCATTGAAATGGAGAAGGTCAGTGAATAAACTGCAGTGTACAATGATGTGTAGGGTTAGGGTTACCTGTCAATCTACTATCATCTCACTACTGCATCTTTTCTGTGTTTCTGAATAGCACAATGAATCAGATCTGGGCTTCACTGAAGCCAATCTGGCTCTGTGCTCTCTGGATCTGTTCCTGGCGGGATCAGAGACAACCTCCACCACTTTGCTGTGGGCTTTGGTTTACCTCATGAAATACCCCGATATTCAGGGTAGGCAACATGTTGCTGCACATTGGAAACAAGAATATGAAAGTGTCCAGCATTGTTTGTACAAATGCACATTTGTGCTTTGAGCTGCACGCTAACATGAGCAGGCTAACATATTTCCCAACGGCAAGTGTAATATAATGTACACATTAGTTTAGTATGTTAGCATGCTAAAATAAACTCACTAACAATAATCACATCATGAGTACAGTGAAGGCTGAAAATAGGGGCAGACGGGGGAATCCCCGGTGGGCCTCCATCACCACCCGGCCCCCCTCTGACATTGCCAGATCGACTACATTCAATGCGTCACAGATCACGTTACAATTGTTGGCAGCTAAAAGCAAAATTTAGTCATTACTAATTGATAGTTATACTACTCCTCCTGATCTGTATTCACACTGGTATTGTAAATATCAGGTATCTCGATATTTATGCCAGTTTTTAACTTTGGGCCTCTATGATTGAGTTTGACACCACTGATCTGCCTACTCAACATTTGCGTCACCGGTTTGGAGACAAAGCCGCTTTGGAACGCCAGCCGGCGGCAAAGTGTAATATAAATATTAAAAAGTCTTTGACTTATTTAGGAAACCACGGACTGGTGAGACGAGTTATTGTTTTGTTATGCACACACACACAATATCCCACCTACCATGCAACGTTTTTCCCCCCAGTCTGCCCTTGGCTGAAAATGGTAAATGGACTGTACTTGTACAGCGCTTTTCTAGTCTTCTGACCACTCAAAGCGCTTTAACACTACATGACATCATTCACCCATTCACACTGATGACAGGAGAACCACACACACTGACACCTGCCCATCAGTAACTAACATTCACAAGCAATGTTGGGTTAAGTGTCTTGCTCAAGGACACAACGACATGTGGGTTAGCCGGGCCTGGGATCGAACCGACAACCCTCTGATTGGAGGACGACTGTGCTCCCCACAGTCGCCCGGACAAAATGAACATAGACATTTTCTAACCTTGTTCCTTTATGCTTAATCCATTATATGTTGTTATTATTCAAGACAAAGTCCAGGTTGAAATAGACGGAGTGATCGGACGAAGCCGACAGCCCAGTATGGCAGACAGACCCAACCTGCCCTACACTGAAGCTGTCCTCCATGAGATCCAGAGAATGGGAAACATCGTTCCTCTCAACGGAGCCAGAATGGCCACCAAGCATACAACCCTGGGCGGTTACCTAATACCCAAAGTGAATTTAACACATAGCCAAAATGTTGCATCTTAACAAGAATGTCTACGAATGAAAAGTATGTTGTTGTAAAATTGTATGGTGTTAACCGATGGATCTTGTTTTCCAGGGTACTACCGTGATGCCCAGCCTAACCTCTGTGCTGTTTGACAAGACTGAATGGGAAACTCCACACACCTTCAACCCTGGACACTTCTTAGGTGCTGAGGGAAAGTTTGTGAGGAGGGAAGCGTTCTTGCCTTTCTCCGCAGGTACATCGCATCTATTCCAATATAAAGCATACGTAAACGTGAGTACATTCGTTTATCCGTTCATGTTGAATCTCCAGGGAAACGAGTGTGTCCCGGGGAAGGCCTGGCAAAGATGGAGCTGTTCCTGTTTTTGGTTGGTTTACTACAGAAGTTCTCTTTCTCTGTTCCTGATGGAGTAGAGTTGAGTACAGAAGGAATAACTGGAGTTACCCGTGTACCACATCCCTTCAAGGTTTACGCAAAGGCTCGCTGAATCACTTTACGTTTCATGTACACAATGTGTAATAAAAAGGACAAAGCAGCTTTTGTAGAGAAGCTCATCTCAACCTTTCCCTGTTGTATCATTGCCTCATGTGTTGATGACTTTTATTCTCCCTGTCTGTACGTTCAATCATATTTATTTAAGGCATAAAGGAATGTTTCGCTGGATGCAAAATATTCCATTGTCGGTTTTCCTTGTTGATGATAAAATGAGGTATTCTCGTTCTTTACACTATTATTTCATGTGTGAGTCCTATAGTCAGTTTGTGGAGTGCATGGGTGGTAATTTAGTGCTTTAGTGTTTACATTCAAAGGTAGACTGTGGAGGATTTTATTTAATTTATATTTTAATTATCTCACATGCTCATAAGTTTACCTCCAATTTTGCTCCCCAAACACCTTAGTTTGCAGATATTTAAATCAGAGAAGTCATATTTTGCTGTAGTAAACCCTTTTGATGAGTTCAGGTTTTGGATTGCAGTACATAGAATCCTGCCCACAGCCTTAGTTGTGAGTCGGTGGCACAATGACGGTTGATTTAAACATGCCCAAGTCCTCAAACAAAGAACCAGAATAAAACTTGTCAGAATTCGACAAAGTAAGCAGCGAGTTATGTAAAATGTCCACACAATGCCCACGCTGCTCAATGACACTGCAAGCTTTTGATAACCTTTAATCACTGAGGTCTTTACATTGTACTAACCTGTGTTCAGAGCCTGGCTGACATCTACGGGAGTGTGTCTCTGCCTTTGTAGATTTAAGGTGGTGACTGTTGCAAGATGGTAAAGGAAGCCATAGTGACTCAAGGCAACACCTTTGTAGATTGACCAAGGCATGCGAAGGGCTGTTATATATAGATATATATCTATATCATCAATTGTTCGGTCACATTTCATCTCTCTCACTGCAGAAACAAACAGTTGCCCCACTTTCCAGAACGCAGGAATACAAAAAAAGAGGATAGAAATTTAAATTTCACATTGCATTTATCATTGTGTGACAGCTGAAGGATTTGGGTTTTTAGCTGATTTGTCCTATTGGGTCACTCTGCACCACACAGAGGTCATTGTCTCTCGAGTTGCTCGGAGTCAGCAGAGTGCCAGCCCAGTGATGATGGAAGAATTGAACCTCGTCAGTCTCTGGCTCATCTTCTGTGCCTCACTATGTCGCTGTGTGGTTTCCTCCTGAGGTTTGGTCCGCCGGAATTTCTGCTTTTGTTTTTTGCATTTCTCCTTCTGGTGTGTTTTTGGGCCAAAAAGGATCCACCCAATTTCCCTCCAGGACCGCCATCCCTCCCTTTTTTGGGAAACATATTCAATATTGAATCTAAACAGCCTCATATTTACTTAACCAAGGTAAGATGACAATCATATTTTCATTTCATGAAGAAGTGTTTTTGTGAGTAGCAGCAGAAGGTGGAATGTAGTTTCCTATTGACTGTCTTTACTCCACCACTGTAGCATGTTGTTGAAACCGATAAAGGCAGATTAGAGAAGAAGAGTCGGCTTCAACAGAATATTAAAGAATTTATGCTAGAACCCTGCTGCTAGTAGGTCAGTGTCATAGAAACCATTGTCTTGAAATATGCATCTTATCAGAGGGACATGCCAGACAACAGGCCACTCATTACCTCCTGCCTCCACAGCTCGCTGATGTTTATGGGAATGTGTTCTGCATACGTCTGGGGAGACACAGAACCGTGTTTGTTTCTGGGTGGAAGATGGTGAAAGAGGCCATAGTCACACAGGCCGACCACTTTGTGGACCGGCCTTACAGTCCAATGGTGACCAGAATTTATTCAGGGAACTCAGGTGAATTCAACGAACAACATCTGCGTTAAAAAGTCCCCCTATCTTGGTAATGTTCTGTGGTCATTGTCTGTCTCAGCAGGTCTTTTCTTCAGTAATGGGAAGGTGTGGCGGCGACAGCGGCGTTTTGCCATGTCCACGTTAAGAACCTTCGGCCTGGCCAACAGCTCCATGGAGCAGAGCATCTGTGAGGAGAGTCGCCATCTGCAGGAGGCGCTGGAGAAGGAGAAAGGTTGGCAAGAACAGAACAAATTGAATTGAATGGAAAGCAAAAATACAGACCTTTCTTGTACCCAGGAGAGCCATTTGACCCTGTGCCCCTGATAAACAACGCTGTGGCCAACATCATCTGCCAGATCGTGTTTGGGAGACGCTTCGACTACACCGACCACAACTTCCAGAGCATGCTGAGGAATCTGACCGACATGGCCTATCTGGAGGGCTCTATATGGGCCCTGGTAAGGCACAACTAGCAACCTCACCAGGCTAAGGGCATTCCACACATGGATCACAACCATTTCATGTCATTATCAGTCAATACAATTTTCTTTTGTGAAAGTAACATTTGTCACTGTCAATTGGTTTCTTGCACCAACTTGTGTTAATGAAAAGGAAAAAGGTATAAATATATTTACTCTATTTACTCTCCAATCAGCTATACGACGCATTCCCAGCAGTCATGAAACATGTGCCTGGTCCTCACAACGGCATCTTCAGGAGCTCCAGGTCTTTGGAGGCATCCATCAGAGCAGAGATAGAGCGGCATAAGTTGGATCTGGACCCCACAAACCCACGAGATTACATCGACCTCTTCCTCATCGAGGAGAAAGTATGATGCTCACAGTGTGGACTCAATATGAGTGAGAGAAGAGAAACCAACCAGCCATGTGTTTGTCCCTTCGCCTTGCTCAACAGCACAGCAAAAACCGGGACTTGGGTTTTGATGAGGGCAACCTCGTTCTGTGTTGTCTGGATCTGTTCCTGGCTGGGAGCGAGACCACTTCCAAGACCCTGCAGTGGGGCCTTGTCTACCTCATCAAGAGCCCTCACATTCAGGGTGGGTGTCAGTAGATTAGTAGATAGAGGGGGCAGGCCTACAATCAACTAAATGCTTTTTATTTGACTTCCTAGCCAAAGTGCAGGCAGAGATAGACGGAGTGATCGGACCGACCCGCCACCCCACGATGGCTGACAGACCCAACCTGCCCTTCACCGACGCTGTAATCCACGAGATCCAGAGGGTGGGAAACGTTGTTCCTCTCAATGGACTCAGAATGGCCGCCAAGGACACCACGCTGGGTGGCTACTTCATACCCAAGGTGCCTCTACTATTAGCAGTGGGTCGAACGTCAAAGGCTCTGGATCCGGAGTCCAGACCAGATACAGGGTTTAAAGGGAATGCCGATCATCCGGTTCTGAGGCGGTAGAAATAGATTTACACATGTCTCACTAAAATGACATAAAAAAGATACTTACCGGATTCCGGATAATTTAGCCCTTTAACTTCCTGCACATTTGAGTCACTATATTGAAAAATGTATTTACCATGATTGAACCTGATTGAGCCGTCTCTACCACTTGGTTTACCAATCTTATTGAAAGAAATCCAGTAGATGTCACTGTGTCTTTAAGACGTGTGCCTTCCAAATTCCTCTCACTATTTTTGTTGAAAATTTCAACGGGAAGCAAATTTATTCAGAATATCACAGCTCACAATGTTTTATTGAACAGAATTCCAAAACAAAAATGAAAGAGGGTAAAAATGATTTCTTTAAATTGTGCTCTACCAAGCGGTTGAATTGTCACTTCATTATAAAGGTAGCAAAGTTAAGCTACTGTAAATAAAAGTCACCATTTATTATGAAACAAACATAATTAATTCATTTTTATACATAGGATACATGTAATCTTGTGTCACCCAATATGTGCTAAAATTATGTCATGAGATTTCATGTTTTTTGGATTGTTCCCCTAATTGTTGAATGAAAAGTAGATAGCATAACTGGAAATCTGAACTGTGAAGAGTTTCTAACAACATATGCTCCCATTACTTCATTCATTTAGAGTGTTCATTAATACCCAAACAGAGAAATGCAAAGATTTGAGTTTTAAACCGGAAGTTTGTGTCAGATTAAGATCCTATTATTATACTATGAGTAGAAATATATTCCTGTGATTGGGTTTTTTCAGACTGCCAAACGTTGATGAATCTGAGCCATTGAAGGTTTATTTAATTAAAACAAACCAACTCATTTAGTATGTTAACCCCTTTTAAGGATAAAAGGCTGTAAAACAGCTGATCTATTCATTTGTATGTATGATAAATGTTAAAGTAGGCTAATGTAACTCAACACAATGAGTAGAAAACGTCACCTGGAGATGTATAGTCAGAGAAGAAGGTAATAAATACACTTTAAGAAGCGAGAGAACGGAATAAAGACCGTTCACTGGCTGCAAATCTTTTTGTTCTTATGTTTTGAGTTTCTTTGTCGTGACTGAGATATCTCAGAAACATCTGGAGGGAATTAAGAGTTAAAGAGTTGTCTAAAACGACAAGACGATAAGAATATTGAATTATGACAATTTCACCCAAATATGTAAAAGGCTCATTTGATGTGCAGGGAACCTCGGTGATGGCCAACCTCACCTCGGTGCTCTTTGACCCGGCTGAGTGGGAGAAGCCGGACTCCTTCCACCCGGCTCACTTCCTGGATGCTGGAGGGAGGTTTGTGAGGAGGGAAGCGTTTTTACCTTTTTCTGCAGGTAATAAACCCAAATGCGTGGGCAGGATACACGTGGGTCATGAAATTAACACCATCGCTTTCTCAAAGTGAGGTTCAAATATGAAAATGAGGAATTATATCCTTATAGTTCATTGTAACCCATTTCCAGAATGAGAAATTCTGAGAATGAGAAAAAAAGAGTGTTTAAAGTTGATTACTGCCAAGAAGAGAATGTTTTAGGATTCATCTATGGACACAATGGAACTCTAAATCTGTACTGGGTGTTTTTATTCCCACTCTTTCAGGAAAAAGGGCGTGTCTCGGTGAAGGACTCGCGAGGGCAGAGCTCTTCCTCTTCTTCGTCACTCTGCTGCAGAAATATCACTTCACCACTCTGGAGGGGGTCGAGCTGAGAGGAGACGGCGTCATTGGAGCGACTCGCACGCCTCATCCCTTTAAGGTCTACGCTGAAGCTCGCTGAATCCTCGTATCTACGAATATAGACGCATATCTACGTGAATCGATGATACATACTAGTTATCGTTGGTGACTCTTCAGGATCTCTGCTGCAGCGCGATGATTGTATATGATACATTCACACATAATGATGTAATAGCATTTTATTTAAAGTGAAGAAAGCTAAGCGGTCACAATAACCTTTGACCTCTGAAACTGAAGAACAGGAGAATGTCCATATTATAATTAATAGGACTCATTTGCATACTGCTGCTTCATTGTCACATGCAAAAGCTTGAATAAATAAAGTCATTTGTGTTGATGTGAAATGATTTAAGCTTCTCTATGGAACAAATGACTACTTGTATTTAAGAGATTAAAACAGAATTTGTTTGATCTACTCACAAGAAAACGTTTAACGGAATCAAGACTTCTCGTTGTCGCTGTGCTTCTATAAAGATCCACACCAGAAATGATAAAACATTTACAACAAAATCAGTTCAAGTTCACACTCCAGGTCAGACAGCCAATTACCCACAATTCTAGAGGAGAAGGCCGTGATGTCAAACACAAACGTGTGAGATGTTCATGAATGAAGGAGCTTATGAATGGATGAACGAGATTTTTCATTCGTCAAGTTTGATTCTCATTTCAAAGTATTGATGGATTCATGAATCAAGTATCAGGTTTAGAATTCAAGTTTTCAATAATCAACATTCATATTTGGGTGTGTATATATTTTTTCGTTGAGAATTAAAAAAGCATTGATGAACTGTTCAAGTTCAAATCCTGAGATGTTACAAGAGATGAAGGATTTATTCATTATAAAAGTATTCAGATGAGATGAAAAGGAGCTTTAGCACTAATGCACCTGGAGTTTGTGTACAAGTAGAATGTGTAGTACAAACTCTACCTACAGGTGTACTAATGTACTCTGGGGTCAATCAGGTGATCCGTGACTCCTCCCCCTTAAGCTCTGAGAGGAGATGTGTTCAAGGTCACTTGTGATGCTCACTGTTGGAGGGGAGTGAGAGGGTCGGTCCCCTGGCTGAATACAGGTGGCAGGACATGTGACCCTGTGACCCTGAGGCTCTACTTGGAGGTTGCAGAGGTCGCGCTGATGGAGAGCGCCCGGCGAGGTGCGTTTGAAACGTGCCTCTGCTGGGACAGGAAGGAGGGAGTGGGGGGGCGAGCGGAGGCGGGGCAGCCGCCCAGACGAGACTCCAGCGCCAGCTTTTGGAAGTTCAGGCTCTGAGGACCAACACAGAAGTTCAGGAAGTTTGTTTTTCTTCTAATATATTAGATCTTATAAATGAACACTTCATAAAGTGTATTTTCAGACTGTTTATTAGTATTTTAAACACCGTGGTGGTCCTCTGCAGGGTAGATGTTGAGATGGAAGTAGCCTAGCAGCTAGCGTAGCCTAGCAGCTAGCAACCTGTTCCAAGCACCACCAGCCTTAAAGTGGTTGATTTGCCATTGTGGACGGAACAATGTTCTACCTTGTTGTACCAGGCGGTGACCATCAGCTTCTCCTCGTACTCCCTCAGTTTGTTCTGCTCACATTGCCGCTGGAGAGGAAGATCAAAAACACACGAGTCAGCACGATTAGAAACAATGATGTGTTCATGGGACGAGAAGAGAAGAGGATTTACTTCCAGGTGGAGAATCTGTTTATCCCGATCTGTCAACTGGTTCCTGAGGTTCTGGATCTCAGCAGTAGCCGGGTTCAGTTTAGGATCCAGAGCTCGGATCACCTACGAGAGCAAAGGCAGCTTCATGGATTCATGACATTTACTCATGTCCCAAATAGCAACAATACATATTTTACTCATTTGAACAACTTCTTCTCACTCACGTTGCGAGCCTTCTCCAGGTACATCTTGTACCTCTCCTCCATGGCCCGCATGTCGTCGTCCTTCTTCTTCAGAGCAGCATTCAGCTCCTCCAGCTTGGAGGCTAAGAGGCCGTGGAGGTTAGAGGTCACATTGAGGCTTCGCTGTATTAGGGACTGAAGAGACATTAGTACTCACAGGTTGGAGTGTTATCAGGTTGAAGGTCCTCCAGCAGCTCCTTCTTCTTCATGATCTCATCCTGAGCCTCGTTCAGCTGGACCCTATGGAGACACACTCTTTACTTAGCTCTCATTTGGCTCTTAGCGTGAGCTCCCTCTACTGGAGGACTCGTTCACAGCACATCTCAAACGACGATCAAGAAGACAAACTTACATGTGAGCATCGAGCTTCCTCTTCAGGTTGGACTGAAATTAGATTGAACACATTTGAAGAGGAGTGCATGTAAATGAGATGAAGCTTAAAGTCCTTCTACTCACGTCGTCAGATTTGGCGCCCTGACACTGAAGTGCTTTCTGCAGATCTTCCACCTGCTGCTGAAGCTCACTGATGCGCTCTCGACTCAACCTGCAGACCAGAGGACAATGTTTAACACAATCGGGTTTGTCATGATAACGTTCGGATTAAAGGAGGTTGCTCACCGGTTCTCTGTGTCCAGCTCACTTCTGGTCCTCTGAGCGTCCTCCAGCTGGTTCTGCAGAGACGAGATCTTCTCTCTCTCAAAGTCCTCCTGCTGGACTCTGAGCATCTTGTTGTCATGCTGCAGCCGGATGAACATCTCTCTGAGCCACAGACACACACACACAGATGAACAAAGACACATACACAGACAGACCTACACGCCCTCCCTCAGGTGAGGGTTACCTGTACTCGATGGGAATGAGCTCAGCTGCCAGGTTCTCATGGCTGCTGGAAGGAAGGATCCCTGAAAGCAGGTTTCTTCTATTCAGATTGTCGAAGTCATAGATGTGAAACATCAGAACATCATGTGACTCACCGGTTTGGGAGAAATGTTGCTGCTGAGCCTGAGAACATCTCATCTCCTCGTTGATTTCCTTCAGAGAATCTCTCTCCATGATGGTCCTCTAGTGGAGACAGTTAAATGTCAGGAGTCACACTCAGCTCAGAATGGAGCAACGGTTTAATAGTCAGAAGAGATGCTGCTTTAGCTTCCAACGAAGCTTCTCAGACGAGAAGCTGTTTATGTCGTCCTACAGAAGAACATGACTGTATTCATAAGCAGTTAGGAGGAAGAACTGGAGTGTGTGCTCCACCACTCTGGTCCTGCAGTTTGGGTTGGCTGTCCAGTGTGAAGACAGCAGTCCACTATCTGTTCCTGAGGGAAGGTCGACTTTGTGTCAGAATTGTTAAGGCTGCCTCACCTCTTTTTCCTTCATCACAGCTTCGTGCTTCTCCTCCAGCTTCTTCATCTCGTAGGCCAGGTTGTCTGCTCGCCGAGACTCCTCCGTCACTTTCCTGTGTAGCTCCTGGACCTGACAGAGTCAACCCAACGGTCTGTCACACTGAAGGGAAATGTGCACCACGTATAACGTGAGATGATCCTCAGCCCACCTGTCTCTTGTAGGTCTCCAGCTGAGCGCGGGCCGCGTTGGCTTTACGCAGCTCCTCCTCCAAGCTGACGGTGTTGTGCATGTAGGTCGTGTTGTTCTCCTCCAGCAGCTTCATCTGCCTCTTTAGGTCACCCAAATTCTCCAGTTTACGTTTGTATGTGTCCACAGAGGCCTCCAGCACCACCACCCGATCAGAGCAGCTCCTACAGAAGATCAATACGAGATCAACGGCAATATGAAGAGAAGACAGAAAGCTACAGCTGAGTTCTACCAGAAGGTCTCATCGCTGGGGGCTTCATCATGAAATATTACAGTGCGAGTGGACGCTTCTTTTTGGTGAGAACATTGACCAGCTGCTCAGTGACATCATGAGCTCCTTCTCCACATGACTGGGAAGTCTGCATCCAAGCTGCTTCTGAACCTCAGAGGAGGAACTATTGGAATCGCAGACAAACCTCAGAACGTCCAGTTCATCTTTGAGTGCCCGAGACTCTTCTGCCAGGCCGGTGAGCTCGTCGTTGCGGTGCTGGACCTCAATCAGCTGCTTCTCCAGCTCCTCACAGTGTATCCGGTAATCATCCTTCGCCGCCTCCAGCCTGAGCGGAGCAGACGGAACCGTTCAGCAGCCTGTCAGCAGCCCGCAGCCTGTGACTTCAGCTCACCTGAAGTTCTCTTCCTGCATCGCCTCCACATGCTGCTGCAGCTGGCTGTGCTTCCTCCCGGAGGGGGTGCTCGGGTCGTCGAACGTGTCCAGCTGACTGGCTCGGTCCGTCAGGACGTCGTTCTCAGCCAATAAGCTGTTCCGCTCTTCCTGCAGGACGGCCACCTGTCCAGGTACAACATGCCACGCTGGATTATCTCCACATACTGTGAGCATTACATCTATCTAGGTCTCTATATCTACACGTAACCTCTGTATGAACCGTGCTGTCCCACAGTGGGACCACCAGAGCCCAGACTCTACACCCAGAGTCCTTCTTGCACAGCAGCTCCAGGCAGTGGAGCTCGGCCTTACACGAGCATTTCCACTGATGCTCCGGCTGCATGTGGCTGGACCTCAGGTCTGTCCACAGGAAGCTCTGAGGATGTAACCCATAGCAGAGAATGAAGCTTCATCACCTGGATGTCCAGCTCTTGGCAGCGCTGAGCTAACGCGTCCTTTTCAGCTTGAAGCTCAGCGAGATCCTCCAGGGCTTTTTTCAGCTGCACACCAGAAGGAAAAGCAGAAAAACACAGAACTCTGGTCAGAGGTCTCCAGAGGCTTTCAATGATGTGACCATGCACCATCATGGGGGGGGGGTATATGACACAGCGGGATACGTATGTGTGTTTCTCATATACAAGTGTTTCAGATGAGTTTTATATATGTGCGTGCAGAGGATGTACGTGTCTCAGTAGTCGTGAACATCCCCTCATAGTAATCACAACGTCACTAAAGATAATCAGAGTGAAATAGTCCTTAAATCTACTCATAATTCCTTAATGTTAGAATGCTAAAATACTATAAGAACTACCAGATGATAATCAAACCGACCTGCAGCTCCAAGTCTCCGGACGGTTCTACTCCCAACGGGCCGACGATCTCTCTGCTCATGAGCTGAGGAGGCAAAGGTCTCTGGGTTCATGGCTCATACACACACATCACAACATCTGTAGTGTGAGGGATGTCAGGATGGACTCACCTCCTGGATGGCTGTCATGACAACGTGCTGTACGGACTCCTCCAAGGTCATGATGATCTGAATGTATTCTGCCAGTAGAACCATCAGTATATGAACACACACAGCAGAGTCCCTCTACATCCACACCAGGTACCCGTCGGTGTGTCACACACCTTGTTTACGCTCACATCTGACAGCACAGCCCAGGACGAGCTGCAGCAGCCTGCCCAGCTCCACCGGGTCAGAGTGCTCCGCCACCACGGCCACGTCGGGCAAAGAGAAGGTGGAGATCTCCTGGGCCAAGACCTGATGGTGCAGACAGAGGGGTCCGCTCGCCGAGTTTCATTTACTGAGGTTCAACCATCAAATGCACTTACCTCACTGTAATAATCCACCACCATCTGAAGGATCTTCTTCAGGTTGTTCATCTGAGATGAACACACACACACACACACACACACACACACACACACACACACAGCATGTTGAGGGCTGTATCAGGTCAATCCCTCAGCACTGACCAACATGTTGAGAACCTCCAATTATTATTTACTTCTTATGTCCCAGTAAAACTCATGTGCAACGTGAAAGGATGCAGTCACAAAAGATGTGATAAAAGAACGTTGGGACAAACGTGCACACATGTACTCCAGAGCAGTCAGAGCAGACTAAGCCAGGAGGCGCTCAGAGCGAAGGAGGACGCAAAGAAAATGGTCACATTTATTTATTTCTATTAAATTAGATCGAACATTTGATGCGTGTTACTGTCTGTACCCAGTAGGGGGCAGTGCAGCGCGGTGCTTTTGCCTCAAACCTGTATGTGAGCCTCCTCACTAGGAAAGTGATTTATGCACTTACATCAGCACAGCATAACTGAGACCAGCATGTTTAACCAATGAGTGAAAAACCAACTGTGGTGCGTGGAGTACAGAGGGTGCGCCGGGAGCCGCAGGGTTGGCAGTTTGAACCCCGGCTGTGAGTAGCACACTATTCCTACTTTGTGGGCTGGTTAAAAATGTAAAACCATGGATTAAAAATGCAATGTAGTTGCTTTGTATAAAAGTCAACTAAATTACATGTGATGCAATGAGCCGATTTTATTCTTTGTTATGCATAGACAGAAACTTGTGTGAAGTATCGGTTTGCTATCAGTCATTTATTCTAAAATATCATAGTTTGATATAGTATTAATACAGCTTTTTCTGTGATTGTGGTCAATTTTCTTAAGCATGAAACTAAGTTACAATTATTGAAAGTAACAGATTTTTGACCGAGTCTGTCGCCTAGCACCTCTCTGGGGGACAATCACCTTATCGTGGTGGAGAGGTTTGTGTGTTCCTATGAACCCGACGGCTGTGTTGTCTGGAATCTTGTGCTCCTGGTAGGGTTACCCTTGACAAAGTGGTCTCAGGCGAGGGGCCAGACTAAGAATAGTTCAAAAGGAGTTTACTCCAGTGGTCAAAAGGGTCACCTCCCTACACCCTAGGGTTGTTATCTGTGCATGTGCACCGAACGGCAGCTCGGAGTATTCAGCCTTTTTGGAGACTCTGTATGGAGTCCTGCATGGGGCTCCAGTAGGGGACACCATAGTTCTACTGGGAGACTTCAATGCGCACACGGGCGACGATGGAGAGAACTGGTGAGGCGTTATTGGGAGGAACGGCCTCCCTGATCTGAACCCGAGCGGTGGTTTGTTATTGGACTTCTGTGCCAGTCACGGATTGTCCATAACAAACACCATGTTCAAGTGTACATGGTACCAGAGCACCATAGGCCAAAGATCGATGATCGATTTTGTAATCGTCTGATCTGAGGCCACAGGTTTTGGACACTCGGGTAAAGAGAGGGCCAAAGCTGTCAACTGAACAACTGAGCTGGGTCAGAGGATGTGGGGGAAACTCAGGTCAGACCTGGTAAACCCAAGTGCGTAGTGCAGGTGAACTGGGAACATCTGGAGGAGGCCCCCGGGTCCAAAACATTTAACTCACATCTCCGGCGGAGCTTCTATCACATTCCTGTGGAGGTAGGGGACATGGAACCAGAGTGGTGTATGTTCAAAACTTCCATTGCTGAAGCAGTGAGTTCTGGCCTCAAGGTCTTCGGTGCATCAAGGGGTGGTAACCTTCGAACGCTGTGGTGGTCACCGGTGGACAGAGAAGCTGTCCGACTGAAGGCGGCCTTCCGGGTCATGATATCCGGTGAGACTCTGGAGGCAGTTGCAGTATACCGACAGGCTTGAAGGGCGGTATCCTCTACTGTGAAGGAGGCAAAGCAGCGAGTGTGGGAGGAGTTTGGGGTAACTATGGAGAAGGACTTACGGTCGGCACCAAAGTGCTTCTGGAAGATCATCCAGCCCCTCAGGAGGGGGAAACAGGGAACCATCCAAGCTGTGTACACTAAGGATGGGACCCCGTTGACCGCAACTAAGGAGGTTATCGAGCAGTGGAAGGAACACTTTGAGGAACTCCTGAATCCAACTACTACGCCCCCTTTGGTAGAGGCGGAGGAGGGATCATCGTCAATTTGCCTGGTGGAGGTCACTGAAGTAGTCAATCAACTCTGCAGTGGCAAAGCCCCGGGGATTGATGAGATCAGTCCAGAGATACTGAAAGCAATGGGTGTTGGGGGGCGGTCATGGATGACACGCCGCTTCGATATTGCGTGGAAGTCTGGGACAGTGCCAAAAGAGTGGCAGATCGGGGTGGTGGTACCGCTCTTCAAAAAAGGGGAACCAAAGAGTGTGTGCCAATTTCAGGGGTATCACACTACTCAGCCTCCCGGGTAAACTCTACTCCAAGGTGCTGGAAAGGAGGAGGCCGATAGTCGAACCAAGGATCAAAGAGGAACAATGCGGTTTTCGTCCTGGGCGTGGAACGACTGACCAGCTCTTTACTCTTTCAAGGATCATGGAGGGAGCCTGGGAGTATGCTCATCTAGTCTACATGTAATTGGAGAAGGTGTATGACTGGGTCCCCCAAGAGATAATGTGGGAGGTGCTGCGAGAGTCCCTACTTGGCGCCATCCAATCCCTATTACACCCAAACCGAGAGCTGCGTTTGGGTGCTCGGCAGTAAGTCAGAGGAGTTTCCGTTGGGGGTTGGACTACGCCAGGGCTGCGCCTGGTCACCAATCAATTTGTGGTTTTCATGGATAGGATTTTAGGTCACTCAATGACAGGCAATGACTGACGAAGCGATCCGCAAACAAATCTACAAATATAATCTATTTTGTTTTATTTATGTGTGCATTGAAATGTATTTGTAAATCAAATACATTTGTGAATTGGTCTGTGTGCATTTGCAATTATTGAGACTGATCTGACCCCATATCAATAAGACATTGTTGTGCAATGTCTTACGGTCGATGTTATGCAGCACCTGCCACGTCAAATTCCTTGTATGTCCAACGTATTTTGGCCATAAATGTTTGTGAGTCAACTGTGAACAGACAGAGTGGGGGGACAACATCAGAGAGGACGATGGCGGCGCCTCAGCTCGTACCTTCAGTCTCCAGTTGTCATCAACGTCTGCTTTGATGCGGCTGAGCCACCCGTCAGAGAACCATGCCGGGTCTCTGCAGCACACAGAGGGTACTCTCTCATTGTGTGTAAGCGGAGTTAATAAATACATTATAATAATACTATCTACATCAAGATCACATGTGATGCAGCGCTTGTGTCTGCTCTCACATCTGATACAGGGCCTGTGAGATCGCTGCTCCAGTAGTCAGATCCTCAACCGTTCTGCAGGGCGCCGGAGTGTTGAAGGTCTGCAGCTGAGGAGAACAAAACAAACAGGTTGTCAAACATCATTCAGAATTATGAAATACCAATTATTATGCAAAACACTGACTCAATGACAGGCAATGACTCGATCACTGACTCCATGACAGACAGTGACTCCATGACTGACTGGCAAATGACAAACTGAAGCACACAGGTAAGGCTGCTTCCTGGTTTCACGCGACCACCTGCAGCCTCCGCCGGGACGGAACTCACCCAGATGACGAGGCTCTCGCTGCGCGCCGGGTCCCTCGGCTCCATTTGTCCGTTGTTAGCTAGAAGCTAAATTATTCCCTCGCACCTGTCGGCTCTTCCGCTCTTCTGCTTCCTTTGACCTCACCTGCTGCCGACAGGATCCGCTCGCTACGTCACGCGCGCACACCGGACACAGCGAGCGCGGCTCCGCCAGTAAAGCAGCGTAACAGGTACGCGCATGCCGTTGTCACGTAGTCCTTTGCTTCGGTTGAGGTGAAGTGAGTCGCATCCAATCAGCGTTGAGGTCTGTGAAGATTGACGGCTGTTGTGACGCGTCACAGCCAATCGGTGAGCAGGATCTTCTCCACATGAACTGACCCTTCACTGGTGGTGTGTGTGATCCCAGCACAGCTGCGCTCATTAACGGCGATACGTACGATTCATTAATATAGAATATAATTCCACACAGGTGAGTAGAACCCAGTGAAACGTTTATTACGTACCAGCTGTCATGAAATAAAACGTATTTAGTCAATTACAGCATTTAATCTGCTGTCAATACTGTAGGATATTAGATATAAACTGTAATCAATAGAATAATACCAATGTACAGCTATGCCTATGTTGTATTTAACGTACTGTAATCAACAGGTGAGCTGGGAACCACAAGGTTGGTGGTTTGAGCCCCGGCTGCTCCATGTCCCACGTCAACGTGTCCCTGAGCAAGACACCTGACCCCTAATTGCTCCCTGGGCAAAAATGTAAAAAGCCATGGGTTTAAAAATGTAATGTACATTTGAAATCCGAGTTACATTGAACTCCCCAGGAGACTCCCACAGGTGTGGACACTAACTGTCACACCTTTACGGATCGGTATAAATACCTGCAGGAACCGTTGTTCTGGAGTTCGCTGGTGGAGGCAGCAGACGGGCACTATGGGGGGTCACAGGACCCCGTGGAGACCAGCGGCTCCTCAGCTGAGATGTTCTTTTTACCACAACACCATCTCTTTTATTAATTACATTTGATTTTAACCTTTTGATGTCCTTTGTCCGTCCGGCGGTTCTTCATTTTGAACACAATACAAACGTGTTAATCCCAGTGCCACACTTCTTAAACCACATGAAATGTTGCTTCACTCTGCAAACGGCTCCATAACCTCAGCACACATAAGAATCCTGCACAAACAGTAATTGTACCACTCAGTTGGATCATGAATACAAATAGAACATTTTACTGCCTCGATTATCGAGAAAACCTTTGCTGGAATGGATGTGCTCTCAGACGGACACTAAACCATTTCATCACTATGAATGGTAGCTTCTCTCTGTGGGCCCGACTTCCATGTCCCACCTGAGACTGTATTCCACCTCCATGTGCACTTCTCTGCTTTATCTGCGAGACCTCCATCCGATATGCAAAACTGTGTGTTGCATTACTCAGAGCAGCAAAAATTGGTCCAATTCAACATTTTCACAATATCTACCTTCTATGACCCGTTTTATTTCAGACCAATAGGAAGAAAAACATCCAAAATACACATTTAGTAATCTAGAGTAATCCTAAAATAAATATTTTCCTAATGTCAGTAATCAACTTTCATGTTGATGTGTACTAGTTAATGTTCATTATTCACCTGTATAGTCTTCATGTTTGTGCTCATCTGATGAAGATGGATAATATATATCCCAGGTTCATTGGGGTTATTAATAAACCAATACACACTAAAGTGGCAGGTCTCCACCCTCCACCCCCACTGCATTAAGAGGTGAAACCAGAGCAAACCACGAAAAACCTTGTGTTAAATTAGTTTACATTTTATAAAATCACTATAATCACTGAACGTAATCCGCTAATTGTATCCGACTATTTACATAAGTCAGTGTTTTCTATCCAACATATTACATTTCTTTATATATATACACACACACACATATATATATTATATATATATATTATATATATATTTAATATATATATATATATATATATATATATTTAATATTTAATATATATATATATTTAATATTTAATATATATATATATTTAATATATATATATATATATATATATATATATATATTTAATATATATATATATATATTTAATATATATATATATATATTACACACACACACACAGATATATATATATCCACAGATATAGATAGAAGCGGTAGAAAGCGCTCAGTTTAGGTTCCTCCTATCCGCGCTGTGCTGTGGTCTTGCAGGTTGGACCCTCTGCATTAGGTGGAGGCCTTATTCAAACCCAGGAAGCTGCAACGGGAGACGTTATTTAGTGACGTCAGGCTGCAGCGGGAAGATGGAAATATCTCCACTACAAGGAAATGTTGGATGGATGATCTTTGCTCTGGAAAAGGACGGTCCAGTGGTTCCTTTGCTAAAAGAGCCAAGCAGAGAAACATTGAGGCTCCTTTGGAACAGCTGATCGTGGCATTTCACTCAGTTAGCAACCTTCTGATCGATAAGGACCTGCTGACTGCTTTGCCTCCTCCTCTCATGACGGGAGTCAAAGGACGGCAGTGGGATCAGGAGCTTAACTACACAAAGTGTTCTCGTATATCATAAGGTTATTCTTCAGGGTGGTGCTGTGCAGTGGGGTCTCCATCTCTCCAAACAGACCCCCCCATCCAGACTGCTGGTGGTCCCGCTCCCCATCTGCTTCATCAGCATCAACGAGCAGAAAGAGAACAATTTAACTGTTATTGCTTCATTTTGACGCCGTAAAAAATAGGTTTTTTTTACTTAGAAGGATTTTCTCTAGTAAATCACGTGACACACGCTTCTGCTGTAGAATGATGTATTTATTAGTAAATTGCATATTAAAAAGACTCGATTGGTTCAAAACATTTAAATCCTGAAGTATGACATCATTATACTGCTAACAGTACCACAGAAGTACCACAGAAGTACTACGGTGCCACGGTGCTGCACCAGGCCGCCGCATTCTGGAACATGCGTAACCACGGAGACGGCGTAAGGGAGGGCCGCAGGGCCGGGGGGGCCCAGGGCCACTGCCAGCTAAGGGTGCAGCGCTCCGGGTGGGGCATCAGGGCCAGATGCCTCCCGTCCCCAGAGCAGAGCCCCGCCACCCCCCGTGGGGATCCGTTGGGGTTCTGGGGGTAGTCCTCGGTGGGCAGACCCTGGTCGTCAAGGTAACGAAATGGGGCGAGACCACCAGAAACAATCCGGTCCTGAACCAGAGGGCTACGGAAGTGCATCAGACCTGTGGAGGAAAGAGGGGGGGGGGTCGACATTACCAATACTAGTACTCAAGAACGCCTCCTAATGTACTTAGTGAGGTCACACTAAACATGGACTTAAAGGACACCTTCTCCATGTGCAACCCAGACCCCCAGGGCCGAGCCCTCCATGCCGCTGAGCCACAGGGACGGAGACTTCTGGATGCCGACGCTAACGAACCGGGACTCAAACCGGCCCGACTGGTTGTGAGTCGAGCACCACGTCGGACTCTGGGGAACCAGAAGGCAGGTTAA